CTAACGGGATACTTCACGCGTTGCGCAATGCGTGAAGTATCCCGTTAGGTTTGTAGGCGCCAGTGCGCGTTCTTCGCTGCTAACACGCCGCTTTGCTCTGTGTTGGGCTCTAATATTTAGACTCGCGGAGTCAGCGTTTTTTAACTCATGATTTTGAAATGTTTGCACTCTCTGCATTGATTATTCCCTTTTAAACTGATAAAAAAGAAATATGTACTACCGGAAAATATAATGTGTTTTTTTGTAAATATAATAGTGGTCCCGTGTCAAATTTAATGATTTCCAAAGCATTCAAATTTATTCTTTTATGTTTCGGGCTTTTACTGTGCTGCAGCGTGTTGTAAGCGCAACTAAAAGCTCAAAATTGGACGTATTTGACTCAAGAAGGTCGATGTACAAATAAGTTAAAAACCAAAAATTTTGCTTTTTAGTTTTTTTCCCCTTTCATTAATTTTTGTATAGTTTCTTTCATCGCAGCTACGACTCACTGAGATTCATATCGATGCCATTGCTTGGAAAAGGTTTTACAAATATTTGTCATGTATGTCATGTTATACGATATTGTCAATATAATTTTACACACGGACTAAAATATAACGCTCGAATTTGATTTTAGTGGACTTTACATTTGTGGACTTAACTTAGTGGACGTTTAAGTAATGGACTTAACAATAGAGTGGGCTTTAGAACTGTGGACGCAACAATTGTGGACGAAAAGTCTGTAGACATAAAGTGGAAAAAAAGTGGACATAAAGTCCGTGCACCCATACAGAGGCGTGGATAAAAATACGGAATAAGCATCGAAATCATCAGTTCAGAGTTTTCATTTAATTTACTGTGCGACATATAAATCCTCGAGTAGATAATTATCGCAGCACGGAGGCTGGTCTCTGGCCTACCTCGAAGATTGAAGGCGAAATATCAACGTGCGTAACCTCATCCACATTCTCTTTGTGTCCATCCTGCTTCCTCTAAATTTCCGGACAGGAACCCTACTAAACGCTTTTCTAGTTGGGTAGTGTATTTTCAAAGAAGCCACTCACAGAAAATACCAAATAGCGGAAGTAGGTCATAGAAAAGGAGCGGATAAAGGAACTGGCAATAGAGCCGAAAGTTTTCCCGGAGGTCATCAATTTCCTTTGTCCGTTGCACAGTTTGACGGCGCTCCAGCGAACTCTTGTTTGGTGCATTGTATTATTTAGACGTTTTTTTACGGAACGAGCTCTCACGACCGTCTTTTTCCGCGCGAGACGCGGTTAAATTGTCTGGAAGGATTGTGCCGGTGGCTTTTTCTACACCCTCACGCAAGGCGAGCACATCACCTTCCTTGAAGGATTTCTTACAAAAATATATAAATCTCATTAAATGTCACTGCTCAGATGGAAAAGGATCATACTCGGAAAAGACCCGAAGTCTAGTCATTAATTCCGGAGTATATTCAATTTTTTGTAGCATATTGCTGAGAGCCCCCTTCAGTCTGTCTTTGATTCAACCAGCTTACCTTAAAAGCAAGTTCAGTTGCATGAGTCCCCAATATAAGGAAACATCATTGGATTTGTTTCCCACGAAAAGATGCTGAGCGATAAAACAATTTCTCCTAACACTAGTCTTTCAGTCTCAAATCTCAAAATATTCGATATCTTTTGCGGTCGAGATTTTTTACCATCTCCTAATCTCTCTTCCAAGTTTATGCTTTGCATTTTAGGGGGGAGGGGGAGTCTACACTCATACATCAAAGAATTCTACTCAACTTTTCTCTAATTATTTGCCTTCATTTCAGATATCCGCATCCCCTCTCGCACCTACTATTGCTATGTAAGGAACAAAAAATTCTTTAAAATGTTCTATGTTGCATTTAAATCCCATGAGCATAGTTCCTTTTAGTATGAATACTAGGCTCGGACTGGCCATAAGGCCAATCTGCCATTGGCAGATACGCCCCCTTTGCGCGCCGAAAACGCGCCCCTCTTACAGATAGCAAAATAAGAAGACAAAAGCAATTACGACTGAGAATATGTGAGAAAAATGTCTTAAATGAACGGAAGAAGAGAAAGTCAGGAGTAAAGAAAGGTGCTTTAACGCATGATAGTGGTGAACAGAGGTCCAAGAACTACTTTCTGAAGCGTAAAAAATTTTCCGTGAAATTTTTACCTTCTTCTTGACATACAGGCGCTTTGTCATCCCCCTCCTTCATTCGCTAAGTGTAACTCCCTTAGAAGCGATGGTCGGTTCGATTTTTAGACAAACACATCCTTTATAGACCTCTTAAGAGACCTTTAAACATGTTTCCTCCTTTTCAAATGACTATTGATTTGGACATACCATAGCATAGCTCGGGCAAACTTAACCTTAATTTTTCTCGAAATTCAAAAATAAGAGACATCTAAAAATGTAAACGCGATACAACTATTCGCGCAAGATGGATGTCCACATTGCATATGAAAATTGTAAGACGCGATGCCGTGAGTCGTGAACTCACAATGCTCTGCACTAGTTTGAAGCAACATTACAAATAAGACAAATGCAAACAATCACAATATGGAAATAAAGCGAGGGAAAGGATGCGCGTTAACGACGGCGCAGAGATACAACTATTCGTACTTGATGGACGTCCGTGCTGTATCTGAAAAATTGAAGGCGCGATGACGCGAAGCGTGAGCTTTCAATGCTCTGCTTTATGCTGTCAATGAAGCGTCGCTTTGGTTCGGGAGAAAAGTTTAGAAAAAGGCCTGAAGACATCTCTCCTACCTTCGGCTGTATTACTCACGTAGTGCCAAAGCACCATTACGAATAAGACAAACGGAAACAAACACAATATGGCAAAAGAGGGAGGGAAAGGATGCGTGTTTACGACGGCGTAGAGATACAACTATTCGTACTTGATGAACGTCCGTGCTGCATCTGAAAAATTGAAGGCGCGATGACGCGAAGCGTGAGCTTTCAATGTTGTGCTTCACGTTCAATTTTACAATTTTTACTCCGTCCGATCAATTAACTTTGAACCTGAAAATAGCGTAAACTTGTGCTGATTTGCCGAAATTTTCTGAACCCCTCTCCACGTAGGGAATGCCCTACCAGGAAATATCATATTACGCCCCTTTAACCAGCCAAGGGTCTACGCCGTCAGATGCGAGCCAGTCCGACCCTGGAATACATCCAATTTGCGAAAATGCATTTTAGTTGCATGGCACGATCATGCTAAAAAGGTAGAGACAACTGAGGTTAATAAGTGATTTTTCTTCTTCGGGTTGGAGCAGGCAGCAGGGGGTCAAAGAGAGCGTTACGTATTTTTTAGGGGGTTTGGATTTGGTCGCAGGTGCGTCACNGGGGGGGGGGGGGGGAGGTAAGGGTGAACAAGTCTAGCTGCATTGATGAACAGTATAATCTAAGCTTTGTTAGTAGAGGAACTATATGTAACTTCCAATGAAAAGGATCATTCAAGTAAATGAAATACACTAGAAAAAAAATAAAAAGGATCTAGAGTCCAGACTCTTGAAAACATTGACAAGAAAAAATACTCTTGATTCAATCGGATTTTTGCTTGAATCAAAAGGGAATCCGCTTAAATTAAGAGGCTTAGTTCTTGATTTAAGCTAGATTCTGATTGAATCCAGAGTACTTTTTCTTGTCGATGTTTTTAAGAGTCTGGACTCTAGATCCAATGTGTTTTTTTTTTCCAGTGTACATCTTATTACTTTGTAATTAGCAGCTAATTAATAATAATCCGACAACCTCGCCCTGGGTGAAGGTGAATAATTGAAACCGAGAGTGGGACACATCTTTGAGGAGGGATGCATGACCCGCCGCGCCGTCTCCCCTTAGTGGGACGCAAACCAAAGCAGTTCCCTTCAACCTCAATGCATTTTCTCGTCTTCAGGGCTTACAGAGCTTTTAAACGTCGCAACTCCTTTGTGAATTGCGCGTTTGAGCCATCCATAAAGAAGCTGTGCACTCCAAAGCTCTTTTAGGCTCACCAACCTCATTAGGGAGAGGAGATCCTGAATATTTTAAACCATTCCGAGGTCGACTTGCTCTTAATGATGCCGTAAAAATCTTACAAATTATGCAACAGTCATCATTGTTCATCCGTGAAAACACCTTTTGGCATAAAGGAACTATACTGCTGTGCCAAGAAAAAAAACCGTATGAGCTCTTATGAGACGTTGCCAAATTTCCACTACTAAAAACCTAAGTTACTGAAAAAAAAGTGAATATTTTTCTTTCAATTTGTTAAAATAATTTTGTCTGCAAGTTGATCGAAAGTATCTGAAAATTTCAAAATAACCATAACTTTCCTAAAAAATACATGTTTTATCCGGGGCAATTTGGCAACTCTCGAATGTCCGTACAGCGTTCTTCAATAGCACGGTAGTATAGTGGGGCACATGTCGTTTTTAACATTATTAGAAACAGTGTTCCCTTATTCTAAAATGGAGGTCAAAAAACTTCTTTGACTATACCCCGATTATTTCGTGAAAAGAAAAGAAAACTACCCAACATCCTTTTCCCGTTTGAGAAGTTGCAGATTTTCTCTCTAATTCTCCCATTTTTTGAGGATAAATGCGGAATACATTTTTCAATAAGGAGCCACTATTCCTGGCTCATTCTGTAAACGACGTACACGCCAAAGGTCTCCTCCTGTTGATGTATGCTTTTGTGGGCGAGCCAGGAATTTCAAAATGCGGTCCAACTGTCCATCGTTGTTAGTGAAATCATGTGTGATTTTATTTGCTCATTCAGGCGTAGATATTCCCTAAAAATTGTGTGCAAAAAATTTATGAAATATTGTCTTGTAAAACATAAGAAGAACCGGCAATTTGATACATCGCGATTCAAGGTCCGTGTTCTCAGTTATAACGGCGATTTACTTCTTGGTTACCTGAATTAAATAGGAGGAAGCAATAAGAATGATCGGAGGAGCCAGATAGCCTGTCTATGTTTTTAAAAAAGTTTAATTACATCCATCAAAATATAACCTGAATTTTTCTGTTTTGTTTCAGCTGACGGAATTACATACTCCTACGGAGTGTTCTACGACGAATGGATCAAATACTTCGGCGAAGAAAAAAGTTTAACGGCTTTAGTTAGTGCGATCCTCGTTGGTACAACTCTCTGCTCAGGTAATTTAGTGACCTTTCTTTTAATTTTAAATGCAGAAATGAAATCAGGTTCAAATAGCGTGTTTTAACCTGCTTACTACCGAGTTTTCTTAGTGAGACCTGAAATTGTTTTGGGTACGTATTTTTGCATAGGCTGGAAAATGTGAGACAAAAATCAAAAATCGAAGAAATAATTCCCGAAATCTGTATAGTAACAATAAATTGTAATGGAAAATGGACAAGTGAGAGCGGACAAAAGTCGCTGAATTCCTCTCTGCATTAATTTAAATCTTATTAAGTTGAGCGATAATCTTCCATTTAAGTCATTTAACGACCAGACATGCTCAATATTCAATCCGGAAAAAGGAAATTGTTAAAATTTTACCGTAAAGGGGCCCTCAAAATGTTTATCATCCTCACTATTCAGGCATAACTGGAAAAGGGTAGTAATGTCAGGATTTTCCCCTGGAAAATGTTTCCTCTCTGTAAACAGTTTGCTTTGTCATGAAATTTATTCAAAAACACAGTCACCATGTAGGGAGGGGGAAGGGGGGGGGGCAATCGTATCATTTTTCAGTCGAACAAACCGCGACACGCGAAAAAGTCGATACGTCTGAATTGAAATTAAATCAATTAGTTTCCGGCATAAATATATTGTGTACACAAGTTTATCATAATCAGATCTGTCAATTAGTTTTGCCTCACCAATTGCAAACATGTTCATTTCCACACACATGTTATCACGATTTATGACGATTTTTGTAACATCAGAAAAAGGTATCAATTTCTCTGCAGCTTCATGTGATAACTTATTTTGGGCCGAAGTGGCTCTGAGTGGCCAAGATTCGTCAAATCACAATGGGGCGACCCACTCTGTTGTCTTAATCTGATTGATTTTCACTCAATTGCCTCCGCACTCACCATCCATCATTGTTGATGGATCGTTCTAAGCCCAGCGTTGCAAATGTTTGCAAAGTTTTTTTACCCAGTATTATCAAAATATACTCCGTAACGAACAATTTATGTGGTCATCCTCAGTGCGTATTTTCATAACCAGTTCCGCGGACAATTACATGCGGTAAATTCAAAAATCGATAGCACAGATTACGCAAGTGAAGAGTTCATTTTGGAGTGTATTTTCAGGGTGTCTATATAGCGACCGGGAAAATCGGAAAATGTCAGGGAATTGTTTTGTGTTAAGAAAAACGTCAGGGAATCCGCAACAATTCGACTTGTCTGGGAATTTCATATTTCAAGCGATTTTTGTGTCAAGGGAACCGCAGGGAAATCGAAAAACACGGCTATTTTGAAAAATGTTTTGCAATTTTACGCATGTGGAGATTTCTACCAAAATTTCTACCAGCATTTCTGCTGATGTCATTTAAATTCCATAATGCGGCAAAAATACCTTTCATAAGTTTAGGCGACATATAGTTTGTTTTTTTTATTGCAGGGAATTTCGAATGTTTCCCCGGTTTTTTTGTCTGTTTTTGTCAGAAAAATCAGGGAAATATCGGGGATTTATTTATTTATTTATTTTTTTTTTTTTTGAAAATTGCTAGACATCCTGATTTTAGACATCACTAGTGTACTCAAGTAGTTTTTCTCCACAAATTCAGCCATAAAAAAACAGCTACGCAGTTTTCTTTACTCGGTTGGTTCGAGCCCTTGTGTGCAACTAACCCATTCTTTCAATGGCGAAGCGTGAATAATCGATTATCGAAAATTCCCCATTTGAAGCTATGGCGCAGAATCGATTATTAAGGTGTTCGTTGCGAACACTTTGCCTATCGATCCTTTTCTACAGATTTAAATGGCAGATCAATCGATATATCGTAAAGCACGCCAGGCCACTGCATTCTCTATTGTCAATACGTCGAAATTATGTCATTTTCCGTCAATTTGGCGTAAGCTACCTCTGCATTAGCGATTCTCGATGCACTAAATTTGCGAATGAGCAGGAGAGATAAACGACTCCCTGTTTCCCGAGTTCATCAGGAAATGGGAAGAAAGAGCTCCGCTGGAGTCATCAATCACAATCACTCCTAAATTCGTCAACTAATGTTCCCTTGTCTGTGGAGAAATTTGTTGTTCACCTGCGGTCGCATTAAGAGGGTTTCTTTAAGTATCTCCCGCCTTTAAAGTTCCTTTTCTCTTCTGCGCTTTCTCAATGCCATTTTCTCACTGAAACTTGAGAGAAAGTAAAGATAACGCGGAGGGCCATGAAGATTACGCTCATCGCCATTTTGCCTTCAATTTTTTAGGTAGGCCAAATGAGCTACTCGTGGTGTAGCATTAGTTATCTACTCGAGGATGTGTATCTTATGTCGTCAACAAGTGTCTCGCTGTAAATTATGTTGAACTCCACCCGACGATTTTGATGTTGGTTTATTTTGTCTCCACGTAAAATTATTTAATATAGGTTTATTATGTTAAGATACAAAATGACGACCAATTTTCTTTGGAGAAACAAAGCTACCTCAATGGCAGTAAAAAAACGCCTATGCGCTTTTACGGCCTGATGCACGATTTTTTTGTCGCCCTTAAACAGAATTAAGAATTTGTTTATTTTACGGATTTTTGTTCTGTTTTTAAGATTCAGATTTAAACCACTCACGACACACTCCTCATTCACTGAACTTTTGCAAATATGAGAAAGAGGTGACTTTAATTTTGAGACAAATTTTTTCAGTGAAAACTGGTTATCTGAAAATTTTGCAATCAATACATAGAATGCACCCCTCTTACATCGTGCTTCGTGTCAGATGCCTATCGTCTGAGTTGTGCAAATTCATCTGCCCGGGATAAAGAAAGTTCATCTGAATCATTTTTATTTAAATTTTTACGCATGACCAACCCTTACAACCGTTTCCCCCGATGAAATACATCGCTAACTATGCTGAAAATGGTTTCCATCAGCCATGACTTTGTGTCATCAGAAAAAGAAACTTAACCGATTCGTTTTATTTGCTTTCTTTTTCAGGGCCAGTTTCAAGTGCTTTTGTAAATAAATATGGATGTAGGCCGGTAGCAATAGCTGGCTCGCTTATCGCAAGTTTAGCCTTGATCATCAGCGCATATGCTAACAGTGTTCACACACTTCTGATCACGGCTGGGCTGGGCACAGGTTAGTGACATGTTCTCTTTGCATGAACTTAAATTGATTCCAGTCCTTGGCTTAAAAGAAAATGTTGCCGCCAGTTTTGCACACTCTGTAGCGTGAGGATTAAAGTCGGCCTAGAATTTCCAATAACGGACTTTTTAATCTGCGTTAACATGAACATACCTGATAAGCTCTTTGGTGATGACTTTGAATAAAATGTCATTCAAAAAAGGAAGCATCATCAGGGAAGATCAATTTTTGATTTATTGAACTTTTGAATTCCATTTAAATAGATCCTATTAATACTCAATTTTTTCTTCAAATTGTAAAAATCAAATGAGTCCATTGAAATTCGAATCCTCAATCACTAGCGGTGTACATCGCAGAGCAAAATATCGTGAGTTCACGTCTCGCCCTCTCGCGCCTTCAATTTTGCACACGCAAACCGCACATCCATCAAGCACGAATAGTTGTATCTCTGCGCCGTCATCAACGCGCGCCCTTTCCTTTTCTCTGTTTCCATTTTGCATTTCTTGCCATTGGTCTTAAGGTGATTCGATGGACGCCATATTTTTTGTCAGAACGGCGTGCGATATATCGCATCAATTGGCCCCATTTTTTCAGCTACTCGTCATTTTTCTCCAATTTTGAGATCGCAATTTTGTTGTCAGGAGACTAAAGCACCCACTAACCAATTTTAATAAAGAAATTCAACGTAATAAAGGCGTGGTTCTTTAGAGAGAACCATCGCATTCGATACTGATATCCAAACTGCACTCGAATGCGATATTTTCCCTCTACAAAACCACGCCTTTATTACGTTGAATTTCTTTGTTAAAATTGGTGAGTGCTTTAGTCTCCTGACAACAGAATTGCGATCTCAAAATTGGAGAAAAATGACGAGTAGCTGAAAAAATGGAACCAATTGATGCGATATATCGCATGCCGTTCTGACACAAAATACCGTCCTCTCTTCATATACACTGAAAAAATTGTTACGGTCTTTGTAGACGTACCGTCCGTTTGGTCTCAGAGGTCGAAAGTTCCGGGTACTGGAGCCGTAGCTTCGACTGCTCCGGGTGCTAGACCCGGAACGCGGACAGTATGTCTATATATTCCATGGCCAAAGTTTTTTTCCTCAGTGTAGGTACTCTAGCTCCCATACGGGGAATTAAGGTGATTCGATGGAGGCCATTTTTTGTGTCAGAGTGACGTGCGATATATCGCATCGATTTGTTCCATAATTTCAGCTACTTGTCATTTTTTTCGAATTTTGAGATCGCACTTCTGTTGTCATGAGACTTAAGAACTTATGTACCAAATTTGACAAAGAAATTCAACGTAATAAAGGCGTGGTTTTTTTAGAGAGAAAATATCGCATTCGATACTGATATCGAAACTGCACTCGAATGCTATATTTTTCCTCTAAAAAAACCACGCCTTTAATACGTTGAATTTCTTTGTCAAATTTGGTACATGAGTTCTTAAGTCTCATGACAACAGAAGTGCGATCTAAAAATTCGAAAAAAATGACAAGTAGCTGAAATTATGGAACAAATCGATGCGATATATCGCACGTCGCTCTGACACCAAAAATGGCCTCCATCGAATCACCTTAACAATCTGCGTTTGGATTTCGGACAGGTCTGGGCTTCGGGCTGATCTACCTGCCGGCGATCGTGAGCGTGACATGTTACTTCGAGAGGTACCGCTCGCTGGCGACGGGGATCGCCGTGTGCGGCTCCGGCTTCGGGACGTTCATCCTGGCCCCGCTCCTGACCAAGCTCACGGAGCACTTCGGCTGGCGGACCTGCATCCTCTGCACGGGGGTCTTCGTCCTCTCCTGCATCTTCTTCGGCCTCCTCTTCCGCCCCCTCGAGGAGATCGAGATCCCCGAGTCCGAGGAGGCCAAGATCGCCGACCCCAAAGCCGCCGCCGTCATCGTCTCCGTCACCGACGTCGATCATCCCCAAAAAGGTAAGCGAGACCACCCTTTTCAACCTTATCAAATCTTAAAAAAAGAAGGGTGATTATTGAAATTGACAGGAAAAGCAATATAGACAGGAGACAATGAGAAAATAGAGCGATCCTATTGGTGAATCCTAAGATATTTTCTATACAATATCCTAAATAATTAACGAACACTCTTATATACACTGGAAAAAAACACATTGGATCTAGAGTCCAGACTCTTGAAAACATTGACAAGGAAAAATACTCTTGATTCAATCGGATTTTCGCTTGAATCAAAAGGAAATCCGCTCAAATTTAAAGGCTTGGTTCTTGATTTAAGCTAGATTCTGATTGAATCAAGAGTACTTTTTCTTGTCGATGTTTTTAAGAGTCTGGACTCTAGATCCGATGCGTTTTTTTTCCAGTGTACTCTGGTATGAATACTTGATTTTGAGTTATGTATATCAAGGTTCCGCCCTTCTACCGCCGAAAGCTCGATTTCTATGAAAAATTATTTTTCATTCTAAAAAATTCTCCTAGGAAATAGTGTTACCCGACATGTTTGCCGATGCCGCCTATGCACTTCTGGGCTGATTATTGAAACTGATAGACAAAGCTATAGATAAAGAAGACATAAGGAGTTTGGAGCGATCCGAATGGTTGAAATGGGTGGTTCCTTTAGACTACGAGAGAAAATGATGCAATAACTAAATGGTCTCTCCCGGGTTGCCGTTAGTTGGCCCATTATCTATCTAATTTGTCCATTGCAACCACCTGCTTCCACCGACAGGATCCCATTATATCCCTTGTGTTTTCTTTGTCTTTCGTTTTGTCTACCAATTTCAACATTCAGCCTGCTGTAGCATGGATGTACTGATCCCTTGATGTCTATACAGACAACAAATGGACTTATTTCTGTCAAACGGAACTAAGCGCTAATTTGAGTTCCTTTTGAGGAACTTAGAATGCCGGATAGCGTGTTCTATCAAACGGAACGGAAAGCGCCATGGAAAAGCACTGCGAGTATAGGACGGAATGACGCCCGGTTCTGCCGCCAATCCAAGCCCCCTTCTACCTTCCTCCTCCTATGGCGCTTAGTTCCGTTTGATAGAAATACGTTCAAATAGAGTCCATAGATGGATGTAGATTCCTAACGGAGTATAGACCAACAAACCAGGAGGGTAAACAAGAAGAAGAAGGAAAAAACTGTTCTCATTGTGAACTTTCTGGTATGCCGCAGGTGAGGAAGGGACGCGGAACAGCTCGGCGGAGGACATCCCTTCGGCGGTAGGGAACGGGGAGATGGGAGGAACGCAACAGCGACCGCACTCGGTGCACGGTCACTACTCGATCCTCCCGCAGAACGGTTCGGCGACGACCCCCTCGGCCAAGCTCTTCGTGAGCGACAAGCACCTGCCGACCGAGAACGCCTACAGCCGCTTGGCCCTTAGTCAGCCGCTGCTCTACAAGGGCCCGGCCGGCACAGGTGCCCACGACCACTCGCACAAGAAACACAAGATCCACGCCAGCCACTCCAACCTCAAGAACGCCCATAGTGGGGTCATGTACCGCAAGGATGTCTTCTACAGCGGCAGCACCAAAAACCTCCACCATGATGAGTAAGTCCACCCCTGAAATCTTATTCTCCGAGCGCATGGAAATATAGCAGGTGGTGGTGAAACAGCTGGGTTTGTGGCGGTTTGAAAAACCTGGAAAGACAGGGAATTCATAAGAAATGTCAGGGAATGGAGCTCTTGCATGTGCTAGGAATTAGTGATTGAAGCACTTTTACCGATGTAAACTTCGCGAGAAACACGATGGTGCCTCTGGTTTTCTCTCAAATCAACGCGAAACTCAAGAAAGGCTTTCAAAGTCGAGGCCCTAATGGAGGGAATATCCCTTGCTACCCTGAGAGTCCACCAGTGTATAAAAAAGAAAAAACTCTCTATGCAAAGACAGGGATCAAATAGATTACAAGGTTGCCATTTTGTTTCGGGACTCCAAAACTGAAAACACGGCAACCATGCTAATGTATTTGCTCCCTATCTTTACACGGAGAGTTTGTCTTGTTATAGAGTTGGACTCTCGTGGTAGCGCGGGATGTCCCCTTCATTACAGCCTCAACTTTGAGAGCTCGAGCTTTGGAGTTTATTTCAGAAAAAATCAGTGGCACCATAGTGTTTTTCGGTAAAATTTACTTAAGAGTAATTGCTTAAACCGCAAATTCCTGGCACTTGCAAGGGCCAAATTTTGCGATTGGCGCGTCGGTTCAGGAACTTTAACCGGTGTCATTCGAAAAGCACGAACAACTTTGGAGTGCTTTTTTCCTCAACGGAAAATTTTCCAGAAGTGGAAATTTCATCCAAAATTTGACGAATGTAAGCGTAATTGGAAGAGAGAATCGAAGCAGACATTTTCTTCGAAGGTCTTAGAAAGTTAGGGAAGTTCGAGGAACCTTACAATTTTGAAGTTAGGGAAAAATTGGGGAAAAGTCAGAGAATCGAAAATTGGAGAAATTTTGAAAATCCTGGATTTTCACCCATTTAACAGAGCCTGTTATAACTAGACTGAATTTTGCAATTTGGAACTACAATTCCTTATGAATTCGTATTTTATAAAAGGCAAGGCAACTTCTAGTAGCTCATACGGCGTCTTTCCATGGCGCGGCAGTGTGGACGGTCACATGTATTGACTTTACCCTTTTGTTCCTTTTTCTTTCACAGATCTACCAATAAAGAGGGATTATCTAAAACGGGAGACCATGTATCGGAAGAGACAAAACTTGTCCCTTGCAATGGTGAAAATCATGTTTACATATCCCAGCAAATATCCATTGATACACCTGTTTGCAGTACACTAATCTGCTCGCCAGAAACAAAGGATACTCTCAATGAAATGCTCGACTTCTCTTTGTTCAAAGAAGTTCTCTTCACTCTTTTCGCATTGTCTAATTTCCTCACCAGTGTGGGATTCAATATACCATTCACTTTCATTATCGTAAGTATACTTTGCTCTCTTTGCAGCACTAAAGTCCACTCTTATTTTGTAAAATTAAAACTTAAAGTGGGGTAAATGATATTATCTGAATTTATCTATGGTCCAAGTCAGAATATGCGTATCTCCATTACAATATTTCAAAAGCGACAATTACTTTTTTTTTCCTCAAAAGAAAACTGACTAATAAGAGTATCTACTCGAAACAGTGAAAACTTACAGAAAATTTCACCAAACGCAGTCGGTTAGTTCTTTTTAAAAAGAAAAGTAAAACACGAGCGATGATTTGCAACGTTGCAATTGAAGAATTGCATTTTTTGACTTCAACCATTGATGTATAATTGTTTTCCATTCTTACTTTGTATATAAATGTAAATGTCCGCACGATAAATGTGACGATTTTGTAGGTATTCATTTGGTCCTAGTTTAGATATTTATTTATTGTTTTCGTCTCTAAGGAAGAAGTACGTGAGCGTTTAAGTCAGTAGCGAAGTGTGAATGGTCGAAACTCGATATTTCCCCATTTGAAGCTATCATAAAGAATCGATTATTAAGGTGTTCGTTGCAAACACCCTGTTTATCAATACTTTTCCATATGCTTATATGGAAGATCACTCGATAAATCGCAAAGCACTCCACGCCACTGGTTTAAGTGAATACCTTTAAGTTTAATTCCTTTAAGTTTCGGAAAGGTGGATGGAAGAAAGAATATGTTCGCAAGAGAAATTGCATACTTCATGATTTGAAGGCCATTTGTGGCCAGTTCGGTTTTCTAGGGCAAGCCTGGTTGTCAACTACAAGGTGTGTACCGACTCTATACCGGCGGTAAAAACCAGAAAATATCGGAAAATTCCGTGTTGTCAGGAAAAATCAGGATAATCGGTAATGGATCAGGAAATTCCGAGCGCTTCAAGCATTTTTCAAACACCTGATTCTCTTCATTAAATATGGTGATTTTTTAAAGTGCCCGCGAACACGGAAATTTGAAAGCGCGTCATATGGACAATGCAAATTTTACATCACCATTAAGGCAGTTACGTGGAGTGTTTTGCGATAAATCGATTGATCTGCAATTTAAATCTACGGAAAAGGATCGATAAACAGGGTGTTCGCAACGAACACCTGAATAATCGATTCTTTACCACAGTTTTAAATGAGGAAACGTCGATTATCGATCATTCACGCCTCACCACTAATCAAGGCGTGTATTCGAGACTAGTTTTGCGCGTGCTTGTTGGGCTTTTTTTGGGAGCTTTGACTCTCAAGAAAATTCATCTGCATTTTGTAAGTGCAGCAAGAACTATTCCTCTCTTCAAAGTGAGTTCTAGAAATCGGATATTTTCATATGTTTTCGTTTATTTTTCAGAACTTAGGGGAAGAGAGGCTCGTTCCTAGAGACCAGCGAAGTTACCTTTTGGCCATTGTGGGGATAGCAAACACTGTTGGCAGGGTCGTGCTTGGATATATTTCAGATAAACCTTATATCAACCGATTGTACATATATAATGGAAGTCTAACAATAGGTGGCATCGGTAAGTCTACACAACCTGAATGAATTACTTCCACTCCTCCGTTACTCCTACTCCTACGTTAATGAACTGTTGTTGTTCGAGAGGTTATGTTAAAAGCCTTTCAACAGTTTGTCGGGCTCTGATTGAATATTTGAAGCATCTAATGTGTCAACAGAGACGAAAGCAAACTGGTGGCGAGTTCGTTAACAGTTCTTAACGAACGAAAATTCGCTCTGTTGCGTTCACACTTTCCGCGCATACTTAGCGCGCATCGCGCGGGAAGTCTTAGCGATCGTGGAGCGCGAAATTTAAATTGACGCGTAACCGTCGCACAAGCGCGCGCACACCCCCCTCCCCCCCAGTCATGTAAGGGTACAAAAATTAGTTCTCGATCGCGAAACCGGACCGCTAGATTCAACGGTGACGCTTGGACACATTGGAAAGTCGCGATTTTCGTTCATTTAAACTTTCGTTTGTAGAGCAATCGATATTGATGGACCGCGTTAAGCAGAAAGGAACCAAGCCACCTCAGCTACTTCCAAATTTAATCGGGCAAGAAAACACTTGTGCGGATTCCTTTGAAAATTTTAAGGAATTTTGCAGAGAATTCACTGACATTTGCTGAATAATCCGCACAACCGTTTTGATGTAAAAAATGAAATTGCCCCGTTAAATTTGGCAATAGTTGATGTGGCTTGGTCCCTTTCTGCTATAATAAACACGGTCCATTTATCGCGAATAAAATCCATGATTTATAATGAATTTAAATGAAGGAAAAACAGCTATGTCATCTTGCGAGAATTGCCACCGGCCGAACCGATGCTGACACTAGGAATTTCTCATGTTTTCACTCAGGTCGCACATTTGAGTACTCACCCATGTTTGCTTGTTTTTTTTCAGCCACTATTCTAAGTGCCTTTTGCGATGACTTCTGGAGTCTTGCAGTTTATTGTGCTGTCTTTGGTTTCACGATCGGAGTCTACGTAGGATTAACATCAGTTGTGCTGGTTGATTTGATCGGGCTGGATAAACTCACCAATGCTTTTGGGTTGCTCCTCCTTTTCCAGGGTATTGCATCATTTGTTGGATCCCCTCTCGCTGGTACGTAAACAAATTTGAAGTAAATCTGTGCATGCCTGCTTGTTTTAGTCTAGTAGGTTAGATCTCAGATGAATAATTTAAAAAATGTTCAGTTACTCAAGTGAGACAGGACCAGTAGATAAGGTACGAATTTCAGCATTCTGATAAATGTTTCATGATCAAAATTTCACGTAAAACACAATGCACACAACCGAAATTAACTCCTTACGAAGCTATTTAATGATTCTTGATGCGTGAATTCAAACCAGTCGCTCATTAAAACTCAGCGCTCTACGAGATTCACATCGCGCGCTAAACGTTTATCATGACAGTCTCTGCGATATACAAATCTGACAACCTCAATCTTGACGCTTTGGCTCAGCTACAGCAAATTGCTTATAGTCGAACAACACATGGTGGGAAATGAACATTGCTCGATCGAGAAGATCGCTGAAACCGTTGTAGTGCGCGATTTGACTCACGTAGAGCTTTGAATTTCTTGTGAGTGGGCAGTTCAAATTCCTTGTAACCAATGTGAAATAAAAGCGTTAATATCTTCGTTAGGAGTTGGTTTCAGTCATTTTTGTTGCGCAAATCGTGTTCTGCGTGAAATTTTGGTTAAGAAACATGTATCAGAATCCTTTAATTCGTACCTTGTCTAGTAGTCCACTGGCCTAGTGAATAGGCGCGTAAAGTTCGCCTTCAATTTTGATTGATACTGTGCCACGCTCGGGTGTTCGAATAGTTGCTTCGCGACGCCTATGTTCCCTGAAAATAAATCGCGTCAATTTTCACCGTTATATTCCTTTGAATCCAGCGACTTGACCCGTTTCAGGAATGGTTACACTGGACAAAGTACGAATTTGAGAACTCTGATACATGTTTCCCAACCAAAATTTTTCGTAGAACACATCTCACGAAACGGAAATTACTGAAATCAATTCCCAACTAAGATATTAACTTTATTCTGAAAATGTTGAACTCCCCGAATCCTAGAGGAACAACAGTCTACTTGGATCAAATCACTTATGCCAATGGTTTTGGCAGGCTTTGTAGTAGAGTAATGTTCCCTCTTCGCCTTGTGTTGTTCAATTCGTTAACAGCGTGCAACACCTAAGCTGAAGAACCTAGATTTAGGTTGCCGTATTTTCATATTGCAGAGGCTGCTGCATTCGTACGACGGTGACGTCTGTGATGACGGTAGTGCGCCATTTGACTCATTCAGCGGGGCGATTATTGAAACTGATTGACAAAGCGATAGACAAAGATGACATAGGGGGTATAAAGCAATTCTATTGGTTGAAATGGGTGGTTCTCACCGACTAAGGGGGAAAATGATAGACTAACTGTCGGGTTTCTCGTGGATTGCCGTTACTTAGTCGATTGCCTACCTCCTTTGTCCATTGCAACAACCCGTTTCCACCAATAGGATCCCTCCAAATCCCTTTTGTCGTCTTTGTCTATCGCTTTATCTATCAGTTTCAATAATCGGTCCGCAGACCTTTGTTTTTTCTGCAGGAGATTTGAATTTACGCACCGAAAAACGTCGAATATCTTAATGGAGATGTTGCATGTGTGAGGAACTGCGATTTGACCATTGATTCTTATGTAAAAGTTTGCGAGAAACACGATGATGCCACTGGTTTTCTTTGAAATCAACTCCCAGGCTCAAAAAAACTCTCAAGTTGAGGCCAAAACGGAGGTGATATCCCACGCTATCCTGAGAGTCCACCTCCACATCAAGACAAACTCTCCATGCAAAGATAGGGAGCAAATACATTGACAGGGCTGCCACTTCATTTGGGGAGTCTAAAACTGAAAACACGGCAATCCTCCTAATGTGTTTGCTCCCTATCTTCGCATGGAGAGTTTGTCTTGATGTAGATGTGGACTCTCAAGATAGCATGAGATACCCCCTCCTTTTTGGCCTCAACTTGAGAGCTTTTTTTGATCTTGGGAGTTGATTTCAGAGAAAACCAGTGGTACCATCGTGTCTCTCGCGAACTTTTACATAAGAATCAATAGTCAAATCGCAAATTCCTTACACATGCAACATCTTCATTAGAAGTTAATTTCAGTAATTTTTGTTGCGCGAATCGTGTTTTCCGTGAAATCTTGATCAGCAATCATGAAATAGAACGATTGAATTCACACCTTGTCTATTGGTCCGTTGGCCTGGACAGTTGGACGTTGGTGAGTTAAATTCGCCTTCAATTTCGAGTGATACTGTGCCACGCTCGGGTGGTCGAATAGTTGCTTCGAGCTTACGTACGCTGTTGAGAGTTAAGATCGCGTTCATTTTCATTATTAATCCTCAAGCATATCGTCACCTTACGGCCAAAGTATCATAAACGTCCTTCGAAGTTTCAAAATTTCCGCCGCCATTTTTGGTTTATCACAGAAAAATGGTTCAACAAAACTATCCAAAAATTTCACTGAATTTTCTCTGTGCTGCCGATAAAACTCAGTGAAATTTTCAAACCAATTCAACCAACAGAAGAATAAGATTTTAAATGGAAGTGAAATTTTCAAACCAATTCAACCAACAGAAGAATAAGATTTTAAATGGAAGTATTAACTCATTCCCAATCAATAATAATGTACCCTCCCGAAGTGGTGTCTTAGACGGTTCCGGGGGTAATGATTGCAACTCTATTATTTAAAAAGAATTAAATGAAAATAAGTAAATAGGTGGAGACATGAAATGCACAATATAACTAAATTGATAGTTGATTTGTAGCTATATGCAAGTAATTTAATCTATTTTGCACAATTACTATGTCAATTGTACTTCTTCCCAATTTCGAGCAAGACTGCTGTCGGTCTTGTTTCAACAAAGTTGTTATCTGATAAATAAAATCATTATTAAAAAAAAAAAAAAAAAAAAAAAAAAAAAAAAAAAAAAACCAACAATTCTATGTGAAAAAATAAAATGGCGGCGGAAATTTTGAAACTTCGCATCGCGTTTGTGATACTCTCTCCGAAAGGTGACGATATTTTGTGATCAGAGAGAAAATGTACATTTTCTACTTATGAATGAAAATCGATACAATAATAAAACAATTTTGGATTAAAATTAATATTATAGGTTGTGATTGTTTTGTGTTTTTTTTTTGTCTGTTATGGTTATTGAGAATATTCGAGGTTCTCATTTCTTTTCCCTTCTTCAGCTTTTGATAATCGAATCCATACTAAATGTTTCAGGTTTTCTGACTGATAAAACGGGGACGTACACGTGGGGTTTTCACTTGGCCGGAGTTTGCATCGCGTTGAGTGGCATGATGTTGTTCGTCGTTCCATCAATACAAAGACGCCGCGAGAAAACGAAAAAATTAGAGCAGTCAGAAAACATTGCCGCCGAAGACTGCAGCTAGTATCAGGCTTTCTTTGGTGTTCTAATGCCAAACAAAAAGCGAATTCACTCCTTATGAAATGTAAACAAAGGATTTCAAGAAACAAAAGACTCAAATCAAATCTATTCTTGAAACAAATATTTTTTATTTTTGTAACCAGCAGAAACTGTCCAAATGTGTTTTCCTTGTTGAACCTGAGTTTTTTCTATAATTTTCAAGACATTTTTGTGATTTCCCTCGTAAGAGGTTTTTGTGTGATTCAGATCATGTTTAAGTAAAATGAATATTTCTAGCACAACTAGATTACCAACCTACCTACCGACATTATGATGAAAATTAATTGGAAGCAAGAAAAGGAAGCATTTTGAAATAATTTATCTCATGCTAAATTGATATTTTATCCAGGATATCAGTATTCTTGCAGTCGGAGGGAAATTTTCTCACTAAAATGAAGTGCTGTTTTTAATCCTCTCTCGTGAAATTTAATTTATGCACCCGCCTAGTTCACAAAAAATTGTCGAACAGTCCTTACCGAGATTCCACCCTGCAAAGCTATGTTGCAGCAACATTGCGACAACATTACCCGTTGACATGGGAATTTTAGCTTGCAACATTGCAGCAATGATGATGCAATCTTACGTATGAAATGGATTGCAACATTGCATGTGACGTTCACAGAAACAGGAACATAACATGACTACATTACAGAAACATAGCAGGGGGATGTTAACAGCAACTTTATTAGGTAACCCTGCTGAAATTTTCCCCTGGGAATTTCACCCAGGTACAGTACACCTTGGAACAGTTATGCCGTCGGCCGATAGGCGTTTAATTTGCATAGAGTGCACATAGAGTCGTACTGTGAATGGGAGAGCTGGGGCCATGTCCTGAACGACGAGTTCCAAGCTCGGTGTGCGCCCAGCTTCGGTCACTTTTTCGATACATTTTCGATCCAAAATGGCAATGTAGAATACTTTATAATTCCTAACCTTTTTGTTTATATTGGATGGCCGAGTCTCGTAGATCGGAAACAATCGATTTTGTATCGAAATAGTGACGCGGCGTGACACAGGAGTCTTGGAATTCGGGAACCGGAAAATGCTATAAAGTGATCCCATCTCTTCCACACACAATACGACTCTATGTACTCCATGGTAATTTGAAGGTTTGAGGTCAAACACGCGAGGGGGTGGGATGCCTCTTTACAATTTCTTTACTGTAATTTTCGGAGTGTTTTCGGAAAGCCGTCCGTCTCTGCAGAAGTCGAAACTTCGTCAGCTTCCATGTCCAATCGGTCCATGGCGTCACTTAACTTGCAAAAAAATCATGTAGTCTTTAAAATTCTGGATGAAAACTGTAAGAACGTGGCTAGAAGGAGGGAATTGTGCGCACTTGGATTATAGTACCCTGGGAAAAATGCACAAATAACACAATTTATAGTGGCCTACGAGGTCAGAAGAGTCTGTCACCACGGTTACGTAGTGCGTAGAAGAGTGACTTTATCAAAGCGACTTTGTCGCGACGGCTTATCAAACAATACCCTCATCTGCCTCTGCGTATTTTTATTCAATGTTATCTGATTTATGTAAAACCCTCGTCAGATCCCGATTAAATTTCGTTCGAGTTTCGAAAAAAACCTGAAGAAAATTGGACAAAAATTTACTAGCAAACCCAGACAAACTGGGCCAAATTTTCGCGTCTGGGCAACGTTGCAATCATGTTACGTAGACAATATTGCTAGAACAATATTACCTGCAAAATTACACCCAACTCCTCTGCAGGGTGGGAAATCATTTTCCAATATCACATTTTTTTTAAATGCAATGTGGCTTTGTAAATACCCAGATACTGAACATGTGCTTAGTTGAAACTCGTAGGTAACCAGTCTTCTAATATCAAAATTACCAAACATTCTTAGTCATTTTAGAGTTGTAAGTCATCAGTTTGTCGATGTTGTCGGATCATTTGGAACGGAGAGATGTATAATACAGGGTGCGTGGCCCAGACCTACCGTACCAGGCCTTTTTTTCGGTTCATTTGGGTCGTACGAAGTTCAGGATTGCGGGGATGAATAAATCGACGCAAGGAAACTGAATTTCATGGTCCCTGATTCCCCCCGACGCCCGTTGGGGGGGGGGGTAAAAGGGGGTCCGTACCTCAAAAGCCAGGGTTCATGTCCAAATTTTGAAATTATTTAATCGGCATCAGAACGTACGGAAATTTTCAACTTAAATCGTCACCAAGAAATCCACAACCGACCCATCCGTGTCCAAAATACCGACCCCTAAAGGTGGGGGACAGCGCCTCCTTTCAAAAAAATTTTAGTTTGTTAAATCAACGTAGAGACTCGGAAAGAAAGTGTATTCATGGGTAATCGACTCCAAGAAATCCTAATTTGAGGGTCCCGTTGTCTTCAGAGACTTTTCTGATGGGGCATAGGAGACTCTGAACTTTTCATTTTAACTAGTTTAGGGTTTACCCCTGTGCCCCATCAGAAAAGTCTCAGAGGACAACGGAGCTCTCAAAATCTGATTCCTTGGGGTCGATTACTTATGAAAACACATTTATTCCGAGTCTACGTTAATTTAACGAATTTAAATATTTTTTGAAAGGAGGCGCTGTCCCCCACCTTTAGGGGTCGGTATTTTGGACACGGATGAGCCGATTTTGGATTTCTTGGTGACGATTTAAGTTAAAAATTTCCGTACGTTCTGATTCCGACGAAATAATTTCAAAATGTTGACATAAAGCCTAATTTTTTATGTACGGACCCCCTTTTACACCCCCCCCCTCCCCATGGGGAATCTGAGACCATGAAATTCGGATTCCTTGCGGTCGATTCCCTGATCGATTATAATATTTTCCAAGACAATCAATAGAAAATTTTGAAGTGAAAAGAAAGTAATGTAATGAGATCACTAAGAGTATTCCAGAGCTACAATTCAAGGGTTTGCTATGAATATTTCCTTGTTTGGCAACTTTCCATGGACTTGCTTGCTCTGTCTCTAAGACAGAAATAAAGAAAAATATCTACGAAATAATATTGTGAAAGAACCCAAAGCTTACCATCTCTTTTTTCATCATATATTTTATCTAAAAAGCTTATCATTTTTTATTTTGAGAGAATTGTATTATACGAGAAATTAATCTATTCATACTCTCAAGAGTTGTGTTTCATAGTTTTTCTTTTTGAAGTAACATTTTGTTGAACCCTTCAATTATACCCTTTCGTTGACTGTTATTTATTCTCTTTGTTGATTTTACTCCGTTCTTCCTCTTGTGAGATAAGTAAGTATAGAATGAAATATGGCTAATTCAGAAGAACCAATTATCATCTGCAGATCAATCATGGACCTAAATAAGTACGTAATCAGATTGATTTAAGTTACCCACAGCCCTTCCAATCCAAATTACGTAACGTTGATGAGACCTAGGCATTTCATTTACCATTTTGCCTCTGTTGTAAATTCTGTCGAAAATGTTGTTCAGTGAATAAGGCAAAATGCTACAGAATGGTTCTGTCTGTTTGCTGAAGTTAATCAATTCATGTAAAACTCTTTTTTAATCTCCTCTACACAATTTTTCAGAACAACATCTTAATAACGATATTAAATTCACCTATCCTGTGCATTTTTCGATTGTCTCATTACTTTAAGCATAATGAAAGTGCTGTGAATTACGTAAGTTAATAAATTATATCTAAGTTAAGTGTATGACACGTTGATTTTTCTGTAAGAGTATTTTATTCAATGAAAGTTTCAAAAAGTGTTATTTTATAATAAGTAAGTATTTTAAGTTTAATGACTATTTCAGGGCAATGAGCAATATGGGGTGAAAAGCAACAAAATATCACGTATCTGAGTCAAAACAAGTCAAAAATTTCTCCTCATAATGTAAATATTCTGTGTTTAATTTTTTTCTCGTGCCTATCAGTCTTTTCATCTGATTGCTAATCAATCACTTAAAAATGGATGATTATTGATCATTAGTTTTTTATCCCTTGCTCTCGTCCCCTCATGTTCCCTTTGCATATTTTTTTTTTAACGAATTCCTCAGTTTTGATTATTCTTGTGAAAAGGTGGTGTGGATTTGAGGAATTCTTCAAGCTGTATTGGAAGCTTTTGTCCTCGCAAAATCCTCAATTAGCTACGGTTGCATTAAAATACGCTAATTTTAAAATTAAACAAATCAGATTTACAGCCCTGATTCACGAGTCATCATGACCTCCCTTTTTCTTGGAAGCTTAAATGACTTAATCTCTTCTTTATCTCTTCAAAGTTTTAGAGTCTTTGAGTGTTCCAATGCTGCATTTTTACCATCTCATTGTAATCAGATGCTCTGTCCAGAATGCTGCAATGATGAATCTAAATGTCGAATCGAAGGAGTTATACTTTTAAGTCAATACTCAAAATGAAAGTTGGTACCTATACCTTTGGTAGTTCAAAAGACACATGAAAGCTTCTTATATGTGCTTCTCTGAAAAAAAGGATTTAAGTATGAAGTATACTCTTATTGTCCTTACCTTAAAAGAAGATTTTTTTTTTAATGTAAGCAACTTTACCTTTGGATTGGGACCGTAAAATTATTTTGCTTGCTCCAAGAAGATTGTTCAGAAACGGCGACTTAAAAAATGTTTATCACATTTCTCTCAATTCTATTTCTGCAAATCTGACAGTATGATTTTTTGAAACACCTTAAAGAGTATGCAGTTTTATACTACGCACAAACGAAATATTTTTTTCTTTATTGCTAAGCCAATGCATAGTGCATTTGATAGATAAGATGGAGAGGGTCAGACCTATCTTTTTAATTTTATTTTACTGCCCTTGCGCAAAATTAAGGGATAAAATAGGTATCTTAAGAAAGAAAACTGTCTGAACCTAAACACCGTACATTTTAAAAGTCTGGTCACTTAAAAAAATTGACACGTCTTTTCGTCTCATAGATATTTATCAAATCATCTCTCTTGTAGCTCTTCATTAGGTATTTTTACAATCTTGAGTATATCTGCCAATTAATTCTAAAATTAGTTTGCTTTGAAGAGTCATGCCTGTGCTTATTCAATATGTGGACTATGAGTAAATTTTTCAATGAAATTCAGTTCTTCGGTCAGAAAACAGCCATGTTTACACACAGAAAAATATATAACAAAAAAAAACATTAGGTAAGAAGGGGGGAAAATATTTGTTTTACTTACTGGTTCTTGTTCATCTTTCGAACATATATATAAAATTCAGCATGTTTTAATGCTATCAAAGTCGACCAATCTATTTCTCTCCCTCGAATGTAAATCAAATTTCAATTCTCTTATTTTATTTACATTTTATTTCTTTAAACATCCACGGATTTTATCATTTTCTTTCTAAATTTTTATTTTCTCTTTCCTTGGCCTTAACTTTGTTGTTTACTTAATTTCTGAAAATTATTCCTATGACGTCATGGTTTTTAATTGCTTGCCGTCCAGTCGAATTGTAAGTACTTTTTCTGCTAAAATAAATTCCAGTGGATGGTCACGAAAGTTATCAAGGAAATGCTAAATAAGGTAAGAGAATGAAGTTTTTACTTTGTACCTCTTTTTCCTTTGATATTTTATCCAACTTAAATCTAGATTTTTTTTTACTTCTTTCAGTATGATGTACCAATCAAAATGTCAATTTCTTTGTATATAATTTTCTAAAAAAATTAAAAAAAAATAATCAAACCTGATTGTGAATTGTGTATTTATTTATCTTAATCATGCTCCAATGAATCGTAATTTTATAGGATTAATATCCTCATGGCATAGTGCAACACAAATATTAAAATTACATTGCAATTTGACCCTTGGATTCCCAAGCCCAAATTGGGCCAAGGCTTTGCTAGAAACACGCACCCTACCGGTTGTTTGGGGCTAGTGTAGTATTGCATACAAACTTCAGATATACATCGTAAAACTGAAACCTGACATCAAATGGAAAGACGAGAAAAAAATCGATGATCAGGGAATTTTTATTTCCATCGTAAAATTTCAATATTTTTACACCATTTCATCAACGATTTAAACGACCAACCTGATAATTTCATGTATCGAAAAGATAGGCTATGTACAATGTACCTACCTGAAGAAAAATTTAAACTTATTTCCATGTTCTTGCAGTAAACAACGGGAGGAGCCCCTTCAATTATTAGATAGGCTACATATGCAACAATCAGATTGCAGTAAAAAGTTTACCATATGATCGCAATTTATTGCAACCACTTAGGGGCCCTAAAAACGTATCATCACCCAAAGAATTTTCGAGCCAAGCCGATACTAATTGTAGTATGCCAGGGGATGTCCCTATCCCCTTGTGTCTCAGCCTTCAAGATGTGCATTTCTACAACACTACCATTAATTTGATATTATCATTTATTCTGTGAAAGGATACATTTTCAGCATAAAGTCGGATGTCTGTCAATTGTATTATTACCTGACGATAAAAATGCCGCTGGGCACAACATTTCAGAGGGAGGTTATGTGCTACCTGATTTCGACCGCCCTTGGAATCGGAATAAGACGAATGCCTCGGTTGTAACATCGGTTCCGTGCCACAGATGAGCTCATGAGTAAATGTTGAGGAGATCCAAGCAACGATGCCCTGAGACGCGGTTCATACAGCAAAAAAGCAATCAAAGGCATGAGTGAAGATAACTGAAATCAATGCAAATTTTTTATAATTTAAAAAGACCAATACGATACTTACGATGCTAATATGATACTTTCACACTCGGAGTTTACGACGATTTTTTCGTCCTTCTATCAAATTGGGCCCCTTGAGACGTTTGGGCCGGGCTATCAGGAGGAAACCAACCCACATTAAGTTGCAGCTGAGAAAAAGAGGTTTGAAGTTTTATTCCCCCATAAGACTCAATGTAAAAAATAAACTTTTACCCCTCTTTTCACAACATACTTTTGGATTTTCTACTTTCAGTTTTTGGCAGGAGAAAATTTCCGGCAAGTGAAATTCAAAAACATTCTTAACTCAATTTTTCCGAAAATGTGAGTTGGTTCCATTCTGATTAACTCGGTCTATTTAAATCTACACTAGATGTAGTTCGAAAACACTCCATACTTTATGTAAAAACGGACAAAAGCTGGAGTCTAGGTAGAGTCACTTTAGAGCAATTTTTGGAATAAGTAACCCTCTTTGAATAGCTTATCCGAAAAAGTGCACCTATTACCATTAGGAAACTGATGGCAGGGCAAGATTAAGGGTGGCGCACAGTGAATCGAGTCGATTAGAGAGGTCGGACATGAAATTTTTGACTGAAACTGCAAATTTTGATGTTTATTTCGTCACATTTTAAATTTCAAGGGGTGCTTCAAGAAGAAAATTTCACGAGGAACCCTATGGAACCACTTTTAGAACCTTAAAATTTTGTATAAAGCGTTTAAAGTTGTCAAATTTTGTCCGACCTCTCCTATTGACTCGATCCACTGTGTGTCGTATAAAAAGCGGCCGCACCAGGTGCCATCGAAAAGATGGCGTTAATATGAAAAGAAGGGAAAAAGACGAGGAAAAAGAGGTGAGGAATAATGCAACAGTTAAAGAGTAACGATAAGTATCAAATCCATCAGGGAGAAATATATACTTGTTACACACCTCCTGCATGCTTTGATGGAACCACCAAAAGATATGCGATTCTGTCGGTAAATGCAGTTGAATTGAATCTCGCCGGCAGGTTCAATGCATAAGCAAGAAATCCATTAGACAGCGTGAATAGTTATACCTCTTTAAAAATTCACAATTATCTCACTCCGATAGTCTTTGCTATAAATCTTATTGCCAGATATCGCTCACTTGAAATTCGCCTTCAATTTCGCCGGATAGGCAAAAAACTTACTAAAGAGCGTGAATCGTTATCCATTCGAAAAACTTACATTAATTCGGTCCATTAACTTTGATAAAACCAAAAACCCGTGCCTAAGCTCATTGGCAAGTATCGTCCATCTAAAGTGCGCCTTCAATTTTACCGCATAGGCAACAAACATACCAGAGAGCCTGAGTTATCTGAAAGCTGCTCATTTATATCGCTCCGTGAGCTTTGATTGAACGAATGACTTTTTTAACATTGGCAGGTAGCATCCAACTAAAAAGCGCCTTCAATGTTGCTGCATAGGCAACATACCAACCGCGAGGAGCGCGAATAGGTATCTATTCGAAAAAACACATTAATCTCGCTCCAAAAACTTCGTAGCAGGTTTGCGGCAAAAAAAAGAAAAGAAAAATCGGCAAAAAGATTGTGAGACCATCATAGGTATGGTAATGCTAAAAAAAACGTGTGATTTTGAAAGGCCATTCAAAGTTTTTATCCGTCATCTTCAAAGCTTAATATTGGACTTGTAATGGCAAAATGTAACCACTATTTCTGCCCGAGTAAAAGTGAGTCAGCTTGACGTCAGGCTATGTTTCATACTACCCTGAGTCTGACATGAGCCTGAAACAGTCTGACTCAGGGTAGTTTATGAAACATAGTCTGACGTCAGGCTGATTCACTTTTATTAGGGTGCCTTTTTTTGGAAACAACGTATCTGCATCAGTTATCCTATGCAGAAGGTGTTTTCACATGGACGAGCTAGGAGTGGTAGCTCTTATTACGTAATCCGGTTTAGCCATCGGACTGAAATGTAACTTTACGTTTTTGTTATTACGCCAAAGAACTGAATAAATTGCACGCAGTTTTGATCTGTCAGGATCTTTCAAGCAGTTTTCCGTCAAAATCTCAAAATCCGATTTTTCCGACCCACTTCTCGGAAAAACTGCTCCACTGAAACTTTTGCCTCCATGGACTGAGTCCCTTCTGCCTTTTCCCGGGATGATCCAGTGTTCGAAACTCACCTTTGAGTTTTAGGAGCCATGTGGCGCATCAAGCACGATTTTTAGGCGCCGTTGAAGATTAGAAGAGTTTTTAGGGGCCAAATTGACTTTTTGCCTATATATTACGGCGCATTTAGTAAAAAGTTAGGCGCAAGATGTTTTCGTGACAGAACTAGTGAGTAGCTGTAACTTGAGGAAAACAAAAGCACTTAGAATGAAATCGTGAAGAAGAAAAAGCACAAACAGTGAAGAAGAAAAATTAGAAATTTCGAATAATCACCAAATATGAAAATTCAGATTTTTAGGGAGCAATTTTTAGGGGCCACGTTAGCGCAGAGCTTTTATTTTTTAGGCGCATTTGGCGCGTTGGCGCCTGTGAGTTTCGAACACTGATCACAAAAAAATAATTAACTTACCTCCATGCTCACTGGTGCTATGATTGTGAGATAGTCCGGAACTACACCAAGCTGGAAGAGAGCCGTGGCCACCAAAAGAATCTGGGGCGACCACAGGAGCAGCGTACCAGCAGACAAGGCAGCGGCCGTCTTAAAACAAATAAAACATCATCGTTACCGTTGAGGTGCACAAGAGATTTTAATTTTCATTCATGACCTGTAAAGAGCTAACTCAAGTATATATTTAATTTTGCGCAAAATGATAGGCAAAAGATATTGATGATATAAATGTTTGTTGACTCGCCATGAATGCAATTAAAATGCATTGCCTAGTGCATTGAATACAGTATCCATGACGAAATTAAAAAAATGCCTGTTCCAATTGCAACATTGAAATTGTGCGCCCATGTTTTACTTAATTACCTAATTCAAACAATATGAGGTATTTTTTTTTTTCAGTTTTCTATGGATTTCATCCAGCTAATTATGAACATTAACTGACAATCTCAAGGGGATATTTTGGTTGGTTTTCTTTTAAAAATATTCAATATTAATCAGGGATTTTTCGACGCTGTAAGTAGGATACGTAATTTTTGACTGTAGCCATACCCATGCCCTCAGAGCCGTTCCGTGTAGCACAACTGTAGTGGCATTAGGCGAAGCGGTGCCAAAAGTAATTAAAAAGTGCTCAATTATACAAAAAAAAAAGGTAAAAAATGTTTCAGCTCCTGTTGAAAATCTCTGATTTTACCTTGTTGAATGATATTTCGTCGAAGTGGCCCATAAACATCACCGAACCTGAATGGGAGAATGCTCTCCATAAACTTCCAGCTCTGAAAAGAAAATATATTTCTAATAATATATTCTAAAGAATTTGAAGTCAGAAAAATATTCAGAGACATCCATGAACATTTTAGGGTGCTTATTCGTATTATCACTTGCAATTTCAAAATTCAAGGAAATTTCTCACTCTTGTGGAGAGGGCGTTTTCCGTTCTGAAATTCGTTAATTATTAGCTCAATATGACAAAAATCGGAAGGCTCTGTATGTGCAAATTAAGGTTTCTTTTCTCTTGGCTGACCACATAGGTATAGATACCGCTACTGTAAGCGAGTAATTATTTCGGATACATATCTCCTCAATTTCTATTAGTATCAAGACAAACTCTAAGAGAGGATTCCATATATATATAACTTTCTATTTGTATAGCTTTGAATAAAAATGACTTAAAATATATTGTACCTAAAATAAATGAGAATACATGTCCTGCGCGTCCGTTTTTTTTGTCCAGTTTTAGTATTTTAGTAATTGGTTATACTAATTTTCTTGAGTTATTTCCACCAATAGTATGTTGATGTATGATGAATTTGAATGTAGAACGTATTGGTATTCTAAAATTAAGGGCTGATAATGAAACTGATGAAAACTTCTGATGATCTAAATTTCACTTACACAATAAAAATTGGTGCGATGTATATGAGGAAAAAAGAAACTATATTGTACTTGTACTGCAGGTCCGTCTTTGAGAACCAGTCCAGACTGCAAGCCACCCCGATGAAATCGCATCCGTACCTACAGAAAATTTATATCCGCAATTATAAATAAACTGTACGTGAAGTCAAGTTTGAATGTAAGGTTTAAAATACCAACTGCAGCAAACTGAACCTCTAACGAAAGGAAACAAAGCAACATGCATTGCACTCAACATGCTGAGTTCCATCACTTTGATATGCATGATAGATTCAAACTTATAGTATTTCTTTTTCCATGCTGAGTTGCTGATACGCTTTTGGAAACTTTTTTAATTTGGAACTCTCCCGAAACCAAAAGTATCAAATTTTCTTCCCAAGCTCGTCGATTAATCCTCTCTTAGAATTGTTGAGACCGCATCAAACATCCGTATCATACAGGGAAACTTCGTCTCTCATTTTGCCCAAAAATATGTATGGATAAAATTGAAGGCATTATGACTTTCCTCTCTCAACTTATATTCGTCTGTGACGCTGAACAATGGGACGCGTTTGCTACGGCGCCTTGATACAACCATACAACCTCGACGGATGTCCGTAATGCGTTCAAAAAATTGAAGGCGTTTCGACTTCCTACGCACCAACTGAAACTGGGTCGATCGACAGACTTGTTGATCGGCGGAGAAAGGGACTTGATGCACCTATTTAAACTTGATGCATGTCCGTATCGCACCGACTGAAGTGCGAAACCACGTATCTCGATTGCGGTGTTTCAAAATTTCCGCTCTTATTTCATCTCTTCCATGAGAAACAATCCAAATTTGCGACTTTCAATTTTGAACCAAATTTTCTGCTATCATATACGAAAAATCATGCAAAATTTAAGTTTAATGTTGACCAGCTTCTCGAAAGAAAAATAAAATTTCTAAGGAAGTCTGCAACGTCGCAAATGGAGAGACGTCGTCTCTCATTATGCCCAAAAATATGTATGAATAAAATTGAAGGCAGTATAACTTTCCTCCCTCAACTTATATTCGTCTGTAACGCTAAACAATGGGACTCGTTTACTACGGCGCCTTGATACAACTATACAACCTCGACGGATGTCCGTATTGCGTTAAAAAAATTGAACAACAGTTGACCGCATCAAACATCCGTATCATTTTGCATATTTATCAATTTGTGAAGAGAATAGCGATCATATTACATCGCGAAAATGCGTCGACAACTTAGACAGCGACTATCATAAGCCCAGCATCGCTGCGTAGGCTAGGATAGACGGAGCGCCTTCTTTCCATGCTTATGCAACACGCGTATCCATCAAGCAGGAATAGTTGCATCAAACAACATGTCTGCTGTATCTTGCGGCAATTCATTTGTCGTAAAGTACTCCTCGTTTAACGATCAAGGGCACCAGTTCTGTGACCTCTTTAAAGTGCAGCTCTTGCATTTCATATCACGGCATCCAGTACCTCTCTCGTTTTTGGAGAAGTATTTGCTACCTTTTTCAACAAAATTTAGTAAGCGTGAAAGAGGAAATAAAGCATCGATTATCGAATCTCTTATAGTAACACGCATTTTTATTAAAAGGAAGTAGGTGGTTGCCTTTACAACAAATGTAGTGAAATGTTGTACTTAGGTATTGATGTGTCCAATTTGAAAAATAATATTCATATAGTTGGACGTATTTCTGCCAAACGGAACTATGTGCATTAGGACGTGAGCCCTGTTATGCATGTTTCCTTATGGGTCTCAGGGCTCATGCATTAATAAACATAGTTCCGTTTGGCAGAAATATGTCCAATTAGCTCTTACCTCCCGACTCCAAATAATGGAAGTGACGCGAGGAGGAGAGACACCATCCAGCATCCGGAAATCCCGACCAAATACAATTTTTTACCTGGAGTGAGAGAATGAGATGTATAAACGAATGAAAAGTTCCGTCTAGCAAAGTTCATCTGTTTTGTGTGAATGCATTCCTAAGTATGCGTAAATTATTGACATTTTGCTTGTTATGGGCGATTTCCACGCACGACTCATGTAGACAATTGGTTTTCAAGCCCATGTGCACGTATTTTCTAAATACAAAAAAAATATCTCATGCTGATGGCTAAAAGTTTCCTCACCGCCGCCGTGCCGGTCACGGCCACATGCCTAATCTCATGTTGATTTTCATGACCACTTCGAGAGTGGAAGCAGAATGTGAGGATTGGCCACGCTGCGCCGATGATGGGTCCAACTAGACCCGAAAAGCAACCGCAGTTGCCTTTGAACTCGACGGTACTGGTCGTAACTAGTGTTGGGCCAAACAGCAAATCTCTGAGGAACGACAATTTCGTGGAATGCGCTGTTCCTCATTCTTCATGAAAAAATTTCTGAGTTTTTCCTCCGCCTCCATCATCCTTCTTATTCTTTTTCTTCTTCTTCTTCAGAAAGTACGTGTACATTGACTTAAAGAAACCAATTGATTGGAAAAAATGTCATTTAAGACTAACATGGTTGCTCTCTCATATCAGTCATATCCAAACCTGTGCAAGTGTGCAATCATATAAAAAATTACAATGATCTCGATGAATGCTATGTAATCCGTGCATTTTCCTTGAACGGGAAATTAAGAAAATTTAGTTATACCTCCAAATCATGTGGTTTTCTTTTCTTAATTTTTTTTGAAATGAGTTTGCATCGAGCATCGGAGGCCAAAAGATATTACGTAACCTTTCCTCCGTCCCACACTAAAGGGCTGATTGTTGACATTGGTAGAAAAAGAACACATAAGGAGTATGGAGCGACCCCATTGGTTGAAATGAGTGGATCTCATGTACGAGGGTCTCTCATGAGTTGCCATTAGTTTTAGTCTATTACCTACCCTTTTTGTCCATTGCAACCACTCGCTTATAGAATCCTCCCATATCCTTTTCGTCTTCTTTGTCTATTTCTTTGTCTACCAATTTTGATAATCAATCCGCTGCTGGTGGTATAAGGCTGAGTCGCATACTTGGGCAAAGTATTGTAGATTGGTCCGAAGTCCAAGAATGAAGCCTTCCTTTTCTTGTCAAACTCTATTAATGGTATACGAGGAGAATCAAATCGGCAAAAATACGTCCATGCATTTCAGCTATCCACTGAAGCAATTTTGGAACTTCCGTGAGGATGCCAAATTATACTTTTAAAAATACGGTGTAAATTAAGACTATAAGACTAGCTGCGAAACTCACCGACAAAAGGCCAAACAGAGATTAAATAGCGTTCAAGTGCCAAAAAAGCAATCGAGTTGACTTGAAGGGAATCACAGAAATGACGCAAAAATGCATACAGCTGACAACAAGAATCGCCAAAAAGCCACCTGTAAATCACCAAATTTAAAAACCAATTTACATAAGAGGTTTAATTTGTCTGTAATGGCTGATTTGGCCATCGTTGATTTTTTTTTCTTTTTTTTTTTGGAGGGAGGGTGGTAAAAGTTCTAATTCAATAATCCGCTTTCTCAGTTGTACTTATTGACTTTGGACTTTTTTGAGATTTTGATGAGGAATTATGTCATGTGGTGCCTTACTAGTTGTTTTTTTAGCTTGTCTAATGGCCTACTAGGCATTTCTTTTGACGTGGCCCTAAAGTTCTACTTTGATTACTGATTAGACTAACACAATGACTAAATGAGGGGCTTGGGGGACAAGACGTATGTGTGCAGTTTTTGCTATCTCGAAAAATGAGTGCTGGAGGAGTCGAAATTGTATGGATCTTCATGGCGGAGAGAAAGTTTAAACTGATTTTTTATGCTTAAAAATTAGAATTTGGGAGCGAATTTTTCAGAGAATATCCATTAAGACTAGTTTTACTTGAAATAATTAATATCTCAATTTATTTCAAAAACTGCATTTGTGCGCTTTGACCTCCAAGCCCCTCCAATTTGAAAATCCATTGATATGCGCCACGCTTAAATGTTATCCGTCACTTTTGAGGGGATAGAAATCAACATCATTTCTTGAGGACTTCCCCAATTATTATATTCCGTCACATTAGTCAGGAGTCAAATTAGTTTCCTATCGTGAGTAAGTAACAATTTTTTCTGCTTTGCTATCGAGATAGGTATTTCTTCAGGTTTTAGCCATTGATGAGCGTTTTCGAGTGGATCTCAAAATATCGAATGTAGCCTACAAAAAATTTTATTGGAGCACCGAATATTATGGTCTTTTTATTGCGGTTATCCATGATGTACCATGATATCGTGTTAACCCTGTTTATATGTACATTTTTTAATTCACTGTTGAATACCGTAAAATTTAAAATCTGACAAATGCCATTTGAGGGGCTTGGATAACAAGGCGCATATGTGCAGTTTTTGAAAACATTAAAATATTAATGATTTCAAGTAAAACTAGTCTCAACGCATATTCTGTGAAACATTCGCTCCCAAATTCCAATTTTTAAGCATCAAAAAATCAGCTAGATCTTTCTTTCCGCCCTAAAGATCCATGTACAGTTTCGAAACTTCAAACGCGTATTTCTTGAAATAGCAAAAATTGCACTTCTGCGCCTTGCCCTCAAAGCCCTTAATTTGAACTTTGAAAGAAGGTATTCGCACTAGCGTAAAGTGTGAAATAAGATTTTTTTTTGACTGTGCAGAGACGAGACAGTTTTATGGTCATTAACGCGCAAGCTACCGACGAAGGATCGCCAAATCTGTGTCAGTCCTTTCCGTCAATTTCACTGCACCCAATTAAAGTATCATTTATCTCCTTTGTCTGGCTGAATCAACGGAAGTATCTCATAGATAGTGGTCTTCTTTAAAGAAAGTCAATAAAAGGCAACATGATTGGATAGGTTCAAAGAGCAAAGGGAGTGAGAGTGCCAAAAATAATTGATGAACCCTCTTTAATGTTCTGGTATGAACACTCGAATTGGAGTTATGCAGATCAAGATTCTGCCCTTTCCCCGTTGAAGGCCAGATTTCTGTGAAAAATAATTTTCCGATCCAAAAAATTCTGCAAGGAAATAGTGTTTACTCGACATGCTTACCGATGCCGCACAGTGGATCGAGTCAACAGGACAGGTTGGACAAAATTTGGAAACTATAAACGCTCATAACTCCGTTATTTAAACACAACTTTGAGGTTTTAAAAGTGATTTCGTTTGTTTCCTCGTGAAATTTTCTTTCAGTAGTACCCCTTGAAATTTGAAATGTGACGATTTAAACACCAAAATTTGCAATTTTTGTTAAAAGTTTCATGTCCGACCTTACTGATTGATTTGGTCCACTGTGTGCCGCCTGCCAGTGCACACGCGGGCTGATTGTTGAAATTGATAGACAAAGAAGACATAGGGAGCATGGAGCGATTCTATTGGTTGACGAGGGTGGGTCTTACGCAGACTAAGGGGGTAAATGATGGACTAACTATAGGGTCTCTCTTGTGGTACCGTTGGTTACTCTATATTCTACCTCCTTTGTCCATGGCAACCACCCGCTTCCACCAATAGGATCCCTACACATCCCTCTTGCCTTCTTTGTCTATAGCTTTGTCTATCTATTTCTACAGTCAGCCTGCTGTTCCTGTTTTGCTAATGATAGAGAAACGTACCCTCCGTTAAAAGCAGAGGAAGCCGAAAATGGGACTCCCGCTAAGAACATCCGTGTCAGAGCGGACACAACTGGTTGGAGCAAAAGCAGATGAGTCCAGGTTGCAACTTTTATCCGCAGAACGAAGGAACTTATCAGCCACCCGTTCAGAACGCCACCAATTATCCCTGCGCACAGAGGAAATGCCGTTTATCAAGCAATTAATAACATTTATTATAGTTTTGGTAGATGAAGAAAATAATTGGAAGCTTAGAAATTAAATTTTTTTGTGACTTGTGCATTTGAACAAAAATGTGTTTAATGCCAACCTCGGATTAAAATAGACTTTTAAACTATATACTAGCTCTGCAGTATCCGGTCAAAACTTTAGACGATATCACGCAAATGTTGTCCCTCATTCATTGAAGATTTAAGTTGAGATCTAATTGTGTTGATAAATCAGTTGCGCGTAACATAGAAGAATATCTTAAAGCATTATTTTTTTAATAGTTTTTATATTTTATGATTCTTAAAGATCCAGCATAAAATCATTTGAAATTTACAAACAGTAAGTTGAAAAACTGTTACTTGAGAACAGGCATGCACTAATAGCTTTTCCAGCTTTTACCAGATTTATGAAATAGTAGTATAAACATTTTACACTGGTGTAGTACCACGCGCCTTCTTGATAAGAGTCGAAACCGCACGTAATTATAAACAGCATTTTTCAAGGGTAACATCTGCATTAACGTCGAGCGAGGGAAATTAGTTGGGAAACCGTATCTGAGAGTAGTCATAATGTCTTCCATTTGACCTACAGATTTTCGACCATCAAAACACAATCCTGTGACAAGCACAAAACTGACCCATATAAATATTTGAATAAACTTACATAATGGATCGAAGTTGGGCATTGCATACTATCAATGTGTAAGTTTAGTTATCTCTTTCGCTGAGGAACCTTTTTCCAGATATGGGTTAGTTACATACATACGTAACACACTTAATGATATTTATAGGTCTGAATAATAGAGAGAAGAAAGTTCAAGGCTTTACCTTCAAAAATTCCCCGAAAAAATTGGTCTGATATATAAAATTTGGCACAGAGCCCACCTTTTTCTTACAGCAAGAGAGAAAAGCCAAACCACTGGCCGTTTACGAGCGAGCAAAGAAGAAAACTTTCGATCACAATTTTCAGACAATTTCTACTTACAGTTCTAACTTTAATTTTAAGATTGAGGGTTATAAGTTTGATAATCCTGATTTTTTCTCTCATGTAGGACCCAAGCAGCACATATTGCAATAAGTAGCAATTACATAATAAAAATATTGCAATTCAACTGAGTGTTGTGTATGTTGCCTAGCTCCTATTTAAAGGGGCCCCATTTATTTAAACCTATCGCAATAAAATTGAACTGATTGTGAGTTACAATTTTTTATGGCATTGCATATTGCCAATCTTTCTGACACATGGAGCTCATTTTGTTGATTGTTTAAAATCGGCATAAATCGGCTAAATGATGTAAAAATATTGCAATTTAATTTCAATAATTTCGTTGCACTGTGCTACTTGGGGAAGAATTGAATGTTTTTAAATCGAAAGGAACTATCTACATTGTAACATGAGCCTTGTCATGCATACGCACTGCAACTTTCCTGTCTTATTTTGGAAAAAAAAACTTCTTTGACTATCTAAAATACTCGTATCCTCAGCAAATTTTTTCAAACATTTTTATCGTGTTGAATTGTTTTGTATTTTCTGTTACTCTTCATTTCAGTAGGAAATCAAAATTTTGGAGCATCACGAATCAAAATAACATGACGACTTACCGATAAAAATAGAGGAAACACCGAACAATATCTTCAGATCTGAACTTGTATTCCAAACACAATTTGTCACAACAAAACTTTCTATTATCATTTTTGTAAAATTGTTTTACACACGAGCAAGAATAGTGAAATCCTCGATTTTACGGCTGATTCGAATCTATCATATGTTCCAATTTTCTAAATTTTTATATCACAAATAATTACATCATCAAATTAAGTTAGATATAATTACGCATCAGAAAAATTAATCTACTTAATGACGTGGATAAAATTTATATTAAAAATAATTTTAGCGCTGAATGGTATTTTTGAAGATGATGATAAGAGCTCAAAAAAAACGACAAAAATGACAGTACACAAAAAAAATAACAACTAAGATAATCCTGGGACCTTGGAGCAGACCGCTCGGGCTAGAATAGTTCTAAGACAGTGAGCAACGTTTTGGTTCAGAAAGAAGAAGACCATCGGTGCAGGTTGAAGGGAGCGTTAGCTGAAACCTGATACCTCCGAACAAGTGAAACAGACTTATAAAGCACAGAGCCATTGTTTCACGCAAATGCGGCTTCTAGTTTTACCTAGGCCAAGTTACTGAACCGTCAAATCTGGCAGCTTTCTTTTCGCCTCTTTTTTCATTGGGATGAAGAAAGTTTATTCGATTAAGGGAGAACTTAGAAAAGAATTGAGCAAGAATGAAAGAGGATAATACAGAGGATCGGGTAAAAACATGTGGGAACTATATGAAGTAAATAGCGAAAAGTCAGAATCGAATGATTTTTGTTATAAATAGAATATAATCCTTCACCAAAATCCTCGAAAAAAATTGGCTCATTCTTTCTTTGCAAATGCAGTAATAAAATAGTTGCTTTGATGAAGTGAAAATGTCGAAAATGAAAAAGAGTATTTTTTTTCTTCTTGGAATCCTTGTCTAGACCCCAGGTCCATACCTTTAAAGCTGAAGGCCTGCTATCTCTTTCCCTCAATTCTCGAATGCCTCGGTGGGGGAGGGGGTCGTTTGCGAGATGGCATCTTGGCTCTCTCGGTTGGAGCCCTCCCTTCAATCTAAGTCCGTACATCTAGAATTAGGTGCATTTGGAAGCCCGAGTAGGTCGTCTCACAGTGGAGCGAGTCTTTGGAAAAAATCGGACCTGAAATTTTTGACAAAAATTCCAAATTTTGGTGTTTACTTCGTCACATTTCAAACTTCTAGAGAGAATTTCACGAGAAAACCAACCGAACCACATTTAGAACCCCAAAGTTGCGTATAAACGGAGTTATAAGCGTTCCAAGTTTCCGAATTTTGTCCGACCTTTCTTATTGACTCGATCCACCATGCGCCTCTTCAAATTTTAAAGTTTAAGGGGAACTTTCAGAGGGAAATTTCACGCAAAAACCAACGGAACCACATTTAGAACCCCAAAGTTGCATATAAACGGAGTTATAAGCGTTTAAAGTTTCCGAATTTTGTCCGACCTTTCTCATGGACTCGATCCACCATGCGCCTCTCCAAATTTTAAACATTAAGGAGTACTTCCAGAAGAAAATTTTTCGCGAAAACCAACGGAACCACATTTAGAACTCCAAAGTTGCGTATAAACGAAGTTATAAGCGTTTTAAGTTTCCGAATCTTGTCCGAGCTTTCTTATGGACTCGATCCACCGTGCTCCTCTCCAAATTTTAAACTTTAAGGGGTACTTCCGGAAGAAAATTTCTTTTGTCCGACCCTTCTCATTGACTCGATCCACCGTGCACCTCTCCAAATTTTGAACTTTAAGGGGTACTTCCGGAAGAAAATTTCATTTTGTCCGACCCTTATTAACTCGATCCACCGTGAGCCTCTCCAAATTTGTCATCTCCGCTGAATTTCGCTGTTGAAGGACTCGCGAACTCTTATCTCTAGTGATAAGGTGGATGCACTCGGTTGGCGGTGCCTGGGGCGGGAGGGGGCGGGTCGCCGGGGGGCGCCACTGGTCACCTTCCTCGGTCCATCTCTCGTCGTCAGTCTTTCAGTCGCGACGCCTCACTCTATCCGTTCCGCTTCGACGCGCCGCGCCGCGACGCCCAAGTCAAACTTAAAGTTCGCCGGTTTCCGAAATCGATCGCCTAAATCGCACCAGGATTACTTCGCTCCGTCCACGTGTTTTATATTCCCCCATTTTTAAGCTTTCCCTATACTCTCAGTGCGGGTTATTTGCATACAGATCCAACGTGACTTTTAGTTCGCACGGTAATTTTGATAGTGCGCTATTTTGATACGCTTCGAAAGGTTTTTAGTGCGAGGCATCACTAAGGGATATCTAGCGTCCGAATTCAAGGTTTGTGGTTTTTTCTGAAATTTTTCGTAGGAATTATCAAATCGACGGTGTAGCTACAAGGTCACGTTTTTCGGTTTGCGACGTTGCAGAATTCCTGTCATACTTTATTTTTAAAATGGGAATTGTGCGAAAAAAACTGAGAAAATTTCAAGGAATGAAATCGATCTGGTCTCCTTAAAAACAAAACAAAATGTGAGCGGAGATTTTTAAAAACCGCAAACGAGGTACCTATGTGGTCTGGTAGTTTCACTGTCGAAATGTTCCTTAGCAATTAGCTGAAACAATGCGGAGGTCAGTGCCGTTTTCTGCACACACGTTGGTGAAACACTGCTTCCCGAAATACATTTTCGAATGAATTATAATTTTTACATTATTTATCGATCGTAAAGATTCATAGAAAGGCAGGAGTGGTCCAAAAATCACCAAATAGAATGTAATGGCATGCAGTGAGAGGCAAGATTTGTAGACATTGAGACACAATTCCTCGAAATATAACAATTGCTGCACGAGGGATGTGTTTGGCCTACCTCGAAACTTGAAGGCGGAATAGTGATGAGCGAACCCTAAACACATTTAATTCTATTTCCTCTAAAATGTCGGGTCAGAGGATATCATGGATAGTTGGACGGTCTTGATACCGTAAAGCTCGAATAATCCTGAGACCTTCCAACGGACTCCCTCTGCCATTCTTTTATTCGTAATACGTAATGAAACGAATGCGAATAATTATTGTAAACACCGTTCTGTATAAGTTATAATTCATACCCATCCGTTAGATTATGAATATTATCAGAGTTGGAAATGCTCGGAACGATGATTCGACCGTATCAGCCGGGATAAAGTGGGCGTAACGAGTGAAAGCAAAGCAGACCACTCAAAAATGAGTTCAGATAATCCGAAGTTTACTATCCCTTTTTTTAGCATTTACTTTATACATCAGTTTAGAATGAATTTCAAGATTAATCGTCTATAATTTAAACTATGAATACCGATTTAAAAAGAATTGTGTCCGAATTATGTTCATCCTCAATTTCGCGGATCGAAAAATCTCTCACTCGCACATGTGCCGGTAGAGGATATTGTCATCTATGCCAGCACGGAGGTTAGGTGTGCGTGCTATTGTCATCAGGTCATAAAATCTTCGTTATGAATCGTTGGGTGGTTAAGAAGGTTATAAAACTATGAGCGGAAGCGCTTGACTGTTTGATAGAATTATTGGTAAAGTGTTATTCTAGCGCGCAATTCCGAATCCGCGAAAAAAACCTCTACTCGCGTGTTTTTCGAAACAATGAAGCTCTGAAAAATTATCCAGTAATCAATTTTTTCGTCATACAATGTTCTCTCCTATGAGGTTTAGAGGAGCTCGATCATCATAGAGAGCGCTTATTTTGAAGAGAAACTTAGCAGATCAGTCATGAGGGAACTAAATAAGAGTAATGCTTGCCTCGCCACAGCAAAATCACCGAAATAATAAACTCGTGTGAAGAACGATGATTTTTCTTAAACATTTTTCTAGATTTCATTTGGAGTGGAGAAATTCCCCCGCTAAATAAGTAAAAATATTTTAAACGACAAAACAAAAATTAATATATATGTACAATATGCTTTTATCGGGTTTATTCTAGTTTGAAACTCTGTTCATCAATTTTGAAATTTATGTTAGGAAATTTTATACTTGGTAAAAACTCCCCCTAAAGAATCCGATTGTATCGATATAAATTTACAACGCACTGCGCCGGCGTTTTCGGGGAAAACGGTGCCTGTCCCATTCGGATTTTGCAAAAATTACTTTAATACAATACAAATTTTCTTAATTTTTTTCCTCGAAATTTTCAAGGATTTTTTGCCGCAATTTAATCTTGTTTATCTGATTATTTCAATGAAAAATATTCATATTCTATCTGACAAAATAACTATTTTGGGGGGGGGGATTTTGCAACACAAGAATGCTCAGACGACATTCTTCCTTTGAGGAAAAATAGGCGGTTAATTTTAGTAAGTTTGGTAACTTCACGAGAGGTTGATGAATGATGATTGGTGTTCGATGGAAGATGAGCGGACGCTACGGACACGTGAACTTGCACGTGGTTGCGTTGCAAAATACTGCACTTGAGCGTATTTCTATTGATTCGCGGCGGATCCGGAATGTGCGGCCGAGTCATGAGAAAGTGCATTGCATAAGGGTGAAGTTCGGAAGTAAACATGGAAGAGGATGACCTTGAGTTGCCGGTGCCTCAAAATTAATCACCAAGAAAATAACCGCTTCGTCTCTTCATTGTCGCGGGTCCGTTGCGATCATAAAATCGAGACTTATTCTACAAGGAAAATAATTCTCATGACGAGTCGAAGAGGAGAATATATCTGACTATACAGATTTGCAGATACCTGCACTGCCGTGCTAAGGAAGAACGTCGTATGAGCCTTCAGACGGTGCCAAGTCTCCTTCGATAAAAACCGAATTTACTGGGAAAATTGCGAATATTATTTTCCAAAATCCTCAGACAATTTCGTATACGCAATTTAATCTAAAATATCTGAAAATGTCAAGGAAAAATATGCACGAATGTTGTCAAAAATACATGTTTTATCAAGGGAAATTTGGCAACTCTCGAATGTTCATACGGCGTTCTTCCCTAGCACGGCAGTATTATAGCCCCATTTAGTTGTCTGTTTTCTGATGAGATCGTTTATTTCTTTATTTATTTGTTTTCATTTTTTGCCGCGTTTTTTTCTGAAGCAACGAGATTACGTCATACCCTTTTGTTCCTCAGTCACCGGTGGTGAATTATTACTTTATTTTATAATAATATTGTGCACATAAAAACAGCTCATTTTTCAATGAATATGTCGGAAGAATATTTTATCATCGTGCAGCGGTATTTAGGAAGCTGCTGTTGGTTTAACCCAGAGACATAGAAGTACAGAGACTAGAGGTCATTGCTATACGAAAGATAACACTGTTATCAATAATTCAATACATCTTCGTTGACTATATTTTGCCGAGTCAACTGGCTTCGCGTTATGGTATGAAGTCCATAAGGATTGTTTGAACGTGTTATGTAACCTCGTGATAGCACGCCGATAAATTTTGATCGATTTTGAGCGCGAGTAACCCTTTCGCAATGACCTCGGAGTTTAGCTAGAGGCAAAATTGAGACGGCGATTCGGCAAACGGCGATTGAAAGCTGTGATGTAACAGTAGGGGCAAATGAATCAATTTCGATTTTTCATTTTGTGCACATAAAACCTAATTTTCTATTTGAAAAACCCCCTGATTTTCTCTCGATACAATTTTCTGACTGAAAATTAAGAGGGGATAAAATCAACGCAGGAGGGTATGTGGTCACGCTCGTTGTTATTTTGCCTTCAATTTTCGAGGTAGGCAAGGCAACATCCTCCACGTAGCTGTTTATCTATGCAGGTCTTCATAATTGGTTGCAAATATGTAATATGAAAATGATGATTCACTCCTAATTTTCTATGTGCAAGCAGTGCATTTCTGGTGGCAGAAAACGTCACTAAGCATACGGTGCATGTGAGAACGCCTCACATAATTGTAGTGGTTTGCAACATTATCTTCCATGCGTGCTGAATTTCATTGGTGCGACTCCAGATATCCCATACCCATTCAAAGTTTCTATGCGGCACAGAGACGTCGTCCAAATTATTTGCAAAAAATATGGACTCATACGGAGCCTAGCTTTGACTCGCTAAAATGAAGAAATCTTTTCCGCAAATAAACGGATTCAATCAAACAAACAGAGATTAGTGACTCATAAGTTTATTCAGTTTCCGCCCGACTCCCATGCCTTATCTTGTCAACAGCTTCCTCTTTGGTACCACATCTCTTAGTTGACTGCTGCCTCTTAGTGAGCTTTCTTCATTTTGACTAACACTCGGCAAAGCATACCACAGCGGTACATATCGGCGGTGAAACTACCAGACCACGTATCTCGTTTGCGGTGTTTAAAAATCTCCGCTCTCATTTTATTTTTTTGACAGAGCAAATCAATTTCAATCCTCAAAGTTTTCACATGCTTTTCTTGGCGCAGAGAGGAAAAATCACTGAAGTTTTCAAAAACTGACGTTGAGCGGTATTCCATGTATGAAATAAAGTATGACAGGAAGTAACAGTCAGTTATAATGTAGACATATAAACTAGCATTATTCAGCGAGGTATGCACGAAAAAATAATTAAATCATTTAAGCTGACTCTTCCTAAAAGAGGGCTAAGTAAGAGTAAACTAGGAGCTTTGTGCCAAATTTCAGTACTTCACGCATTGCGCCGAACACAGGCGGTCGGCTGGGTCATCTTGAAAGGCATATTAGCGCCTACAGGACCATGTGAATACTTCATGCATTGCGCCAAACACAGTGCGGTCGGCTCGGTCGTCTTGAAAGGCATATTAGCGCCTACAAGACCGTGTGAATACTTCACACATTACGCCTGTGACGTCCTGTTATCTAACAATGAATTTTGTCCAGGGTAATTTGTGTGAAATTTGTCAGTTGACGCTTTCTCCAGCTTATTCATTTATGAGAGTGCTTTTAAAGGTAACCTTGTTGACGATAATTTTCGATTGGTGAAAGGTAGACCTTTAATTTTGGATGCGTTTGTAAGAGGGACATAAAAATTGATTGACGTGAGAGCGTTGATGAATTTCTGAGTTTCCTTCCGAATGCAACCAATATTACAGCTCTACCTCTCATCGATTAGAAGTCATTGTAAGAAAACTTGCAACTCTCGTGCAGAACAAAAAGAAGGAGAGAGGAATAAAGCCTTCTTTCGGGAAGAATGGCTCACAAAATTGATAAATTTTTAAAATATCTCTTTGGATTGTTCTTTATATGATCTGTCAGAGGATTTCAGAGGGCAGAAATCAGGGGAAAATACTCCTTAGTACTCTATTAGTTGGATTCCCAGGCATGTAAAGTTATTACGATAAAACTCTGAAAAATTGCGGTATGGATCCACTTAAATAACAAAGTTACGGACTATA